GGGCGGCGGGCGGGGCCCGCCCCGCCCCGCGGCACCATGGGAGTTGTAGTCCCGTCCGCAGCACCCCCTCGCCCCTCCCTGGGAGAAGGGGCCGGAGCGCGTCCCCCGAGGCGGCTGCGGGACGGGACGGGGCCGGGCTCTACCGCGCTGGGGCCTGACGCGGGCGTGACAGCGGTGACGGCAGCCCGGGAGGCTGCAGGACCACTGCAAGGCCTTGCCCCACACCGGGCCCGGGCACGACCTCCAGCTGTCAGCCGTGGCCAGGCAGCAAGGCCCCGCCGACCCCGGGGAACACGGGGCTGGGGAGCAGCCAGAGCCGGTGCTGCTCCTACTCTCCTGGCAGAGAATTTCGCAGGGCAGCCGTTTGGGAGCGTTTTGTGTGCTTCACCCGAGCCCCCCAGAGCAGCACAGCTCGGCCCAAAGCTTGGCACCGCCCCAGGAGCCCCTCTGGTGTGGGGCTGGGCACACGGGACAGATGGCACTTGCTCCAGCACCTCTGGCTCACTCACGGTCACGGGCTTTTCCGTGCTACAAATTCCCCCTGGGTCTGACTCAGTGGCAGACAGCGGCAGTGGCAGGGGACGGGCAGGGGTCACCTGCATGTGACCCAGCCTGGGGCTCCAGCTGCCTGTGTTGAGCAGCTCCTGCCTGGCTGTAAGTGGCAGCGAGCGTTACAGTGAAGAGCAAGACCAGAAATAAATGAGGCTTCTTCTCTGCCCAGAGCTTTTTAATAGGAACGATGAGGCAGTACATCCTCTGGGGGCAGGAGCTGATGACCCGGCTTTGGGACAGGCCCCAGGACTGGGTCCCACCTCTGGCTACCCCTTTTCCTTTTCCCCATGTCCAGTGGTCCTGGTCCTGAGACACCCTCTCTGTCAGGTGTCCCATCACCTCAGGAGGATGCAGCTCGTGCCAGCATTGGCACCGTGAGCCAGCTGTGAAAGCTGGCAGCTGGCACTGTTCCCGCTGCCAAGCTTGTCACAGGCAGTGCTGGAGGCAGGGACACGCCACCCTCCTCACCCCACCCTGCAGGGAGGCATCAGCCAGCGTGAGGAGGGGGCTGCAGGGCAGCCCCTGGCTGGTCGCCATGCTGGCCACCTCCCCGGGCAGGAGAGCCCGGCTCCAGAGAGCGAAGCCAGCCAGGTGACCCACAAAAGCTTCTGCGGTGCCAAAGTCCCTGCCGGGGTGGTCCTGCTCCTGGCCCAGCACCAGCAAGCCACCAGCGGAAATTTCATAGCCCTGCCGGAAGCCAGAGCCGGCAGCCAGCAGCTGCCTGTCCACGTAGAAACGGTACTGGCCCTGGCCAGAGGACCAGATGAGGCAAAGGTGGTGCCACTTGCCATCCAGGAGTGGCATCACCGGGATCTCCCGAAACTGCCCATCCCCGATGACGAAGTGCGCAGAGCCAGGGAGGTCCCCACAATGGCTACGCACACCCAGCTTGCTGCCGCCGTCCTCGGTGGCATAGGAGAGAAGGGCACCGAGGCAGGGGGCTGGGGTGGCCAGCCAGGTGCAAAGTGACAGCGCCTGCAGCCCCTGGCGTGGCCCCGGCCTCAGGACAGCCATGTGCTCAGCAGAACTGTTGGGGAAGAGCAGGACAGCACCGGTGCGGCAGGCTGGGGATGTGGGTGCCAGGTCAGGGGGCCCGTACCTACCCTCTCCTGGCTGCTGGGGGGCTGGCGGCTGCTCCTGGGGGACCGTGGTCACGGTGGGGAGTGCCAGTGCCACAGCTTGGGGTCCTGGTGCTGCACTGCGAGGGGCCTCTGCATCCTCCCCAGGTGCACTGCTGGCCCCGCCACTGGCCGACAGCTGGTGTCCTTCCTCCTGCCGGTGTTGCTGCCACCGCCTTGCCTTCGGGCGCCCAGGCCTGGGGTTGCTGGGGGCCACCCGTCTCTGCGGCTCCCACTCCAGCTGGCTGCCCCAGCTCTGGGCAGCATCCGGCAGGCTGTGTGGCTTGGTGCCAGCCTCTACCCATGCACCCAGTGCGTGGGTGACCGGGCGGTGCAGCGGGCTCAGGGCACCCACTGTTCCCTCCAGCCTCTTCAGCCTGCGGTGCAGCCGCCGACCGCTGGTGGCCAGGCGGGCAAGTTCGGCACCCAGGGTGGCCCGGGCAGCAGCAGCCGCCTCTGCCTGCTCTGCCAGCACCCGGAAGCGTCCATCGATGTTGTAAGAGATGTTGTAGTTCCTGGCGATGCTCTGGAGATGGTTCAGTGTCACCTCCCGGAGCCGGTGAAACTGCAAGGGAGCGGGGCAAGGTGGGGTGAACCTACACCCCCGTGCCAGGCCCCTGCGGTGCTGCCGACCCCAAGCCCGGCCCGAAACGCCGAGTTCCCCCCTGGCACAGGCCGGGCTGCACCCCCTCCCCAACCCAGGCACCCACCTGCTCCTCCAGCCGCCACAGCCGCAGGAGCAGGGGGCCCGGCCGGGCCCCATGCCCCGGCGCCTGGGTCAGGGCACCACGCAGGGCAGCAGCAAGGAGCAGGCAGAGGGGCAGCACTGTCCCCGCCATGCCGCTGCTGGACACTTTCTGCCTGCACAGCAGGGCCAGCCCTGGCCCCCGCGGTGCCCTCCCCGGGACGGCCTCCACCATGATGAGATCCGCAGCCACCGCTGGCGCGCCCCAGCAGCCGCCAGCACCGGGGCTCCCAGCCCTGCGGCCCCGGGCCAGACACTCTGCGGAGGCGGTTGGCCCTGGCCCAGGAGCTCCCCGGGGCTCTGGCTGCCCGGGTCAGGGGCCAGGCAGGGGGTGCTGAGCTGTGGGGTGGGGGAAGGTGTGGGGGGACCCCTGGGCGCACGGCCCCGGTGGGCCCAGCCATGTGGGGCAGCTCCCTGAGGGCAGCAGGGGGGGGAGTCTCAGACTAATAGGCTCAATGCAAGGCAGGGTGGACAGGCAGGGCAGGACTGTGCGGGCAGGGCAGTCAGTGCAGGCAGGACAGGGCAGTGCAGGCAGGACAGCCCAGACAGGGCAGGACTGTGCGGGCAGGGCAGTCCAGACAGGGCAGGACTGTGCGGGCAGGGCAGTCAGTGCAGGCAGGACAGGGCAGTGCAGAGCAGGCAGGACAGGACAGTGCAGGCAGGACAGTCCAGACAGGGCAGGACTGTGCGGGCAGGGCAGTCAGTGCAGGCAGGACAGGACAGTGCAGGCAGGGCAGTGCAGAGCAGGCAGGACAAGACAGGACAGTGCAGGCAGGACAGTGCAGGCAGGGCAGGGCGCGCAGGCACAGTCCCACGAAGCCGCGGCAGGCCGGGCCGGGCGGGGGCGCGGG